AAATAATGTCCACTCCCTAACAATGAAACACAATAAAACTATAGAACATTAAACTTTTTAACGAACGAATCACACTAACATTTATCACTTGTATTTGAGTGGCCAATCACAGAACATGCTAATATTAATTTGTTTCGTCATGAAGCTTTTAAAACTCCATTCAAACATCGCGCTTATATCATGAGCTAGACGTGTTTCAAGTCTCTCTCAAATTCAGTTTTGAAACGGTCTATGAAATCACTGCATGGCTTGGAAGGAACAACGTAATAATAACACGCTATCAAAAGTCTAATCATGAGCCGAAGCTAACATCAATGATCTAAATCATTATTTCAGCTACTTGGGACATGAAAACATGTGAACTACAATCTTAGACAATACTTGTTGAGACCAAAAATCTAAATGACAGTTATGAGCACTTAATTATTGCATTAAATCGGGTTAAACTTTGCTACGGATTCTCAACACCCCTTTCGCCATGTCAATGTTGTTTTTTCTCGTTAAATATGTGTTACTGCGTTTGAAAATAAAAATTTTCACGTTGTATGCAACATTGATTGGGGCAAGGGGGTTAAAAATATGAATTCTCAACAGTTTTGTCTAAGATTGTCTGCCCTTGAATGTACCAATAGATACGAGTAAATAATTTATAAAACGTTGAACAATCATAATGTGGACGGTATACCTATTTATATACCTATCTGTACTCACTAGAGCGGGCGATAGATTGTTATTGCACGAATAAGGCTACCCGGTTTGAACATTCTGGGGAGAGTTGAAGATGAAGGAAGTGAGGGAAAGGCCGTAGGTTTGTGCATTGCCGAAATATAGGAATTATGTTTAAATTTTTATAGATTGAATGGAATTTGCCAAGATGTAATTGAAATCGGGTTGGCATATGTGCACGGCGGGCGGAAAGGGGGGGGTATGGCCTCAGTGATGCTGGCTCGTATAGAATTACAACATCCGCGAAATCTAAGTTGCTTATAAATCAGCGCGTAAAGACTGACCATCTTCATTTGCATATACATAAAATTTGTAAAAATATTTTAGAATATGGTTTTTACAGGGAAAATTGATCCGGAGACACGTGCTTACATTAAATAAAACAGAAATACTCCTGTTGTGGAATTGATGGAAGAAACTAAAGTCACTCGGGCACAAATTTACAAGATTAAGAAAGAGCCGCTTCGAACTAAGATAATTTCAAAGAAATTAAAAGGTCCTGGTGGTCGTCCTGAGAAACTTAGTGTACGTGACAAGAGAGCTTTACTGCGGGAAATTAAGGCCTTGAGGCGGGAAAATGGCAACTGGACAGTAAGAAGACTTATGGAAAGCGTTAACGTCCTTCATGTCTCAGTGAGGACAGTCACTCGATTTCTCCGAGCAAGTGGATACAAATACGTGCAGTCACGCAGGAAAGGCCTTGTTAGTGCTAAGGATAAACCTAAACGAGTAAAGTTTGCAAGGAAAATGATCAAAGAGTACGATATAAATGTTTGGACCAAAGATGCTGCCTTTTATCTTGATGGCGTCAGCTTCACTTACAAGAAGAACCCGAAGGATCAAGCAGTTGCACCAACAGGAAGAGTGTGGAGAAAGGCGAATGAAGGTCTTATAGCAGGATGCACTGCAAAAGGCAAAAAGTGTGGAACTGTAGGCAAGACTGATGAAATCAAGCAGTTGCGATTTCCTATGGCAAACGGGTCATTTGTTGCGAGTGTTACGAGAAGATGGATGGCACGTTTTTTCCATCATTCGCTAATTGATGAAAAAGTCAGGAAAGCGTTCTCGGTTATGGGTTCAGGATGGAGATCCTTTCCAGAACAGAGCAGCTGTTAAACGTGTCATTTCATCTCTTAAATGCCCATTGCTTGCCATACCACCAAGAAGTCCAGATCTCAACCCGGTAGAGAACATCTTTCACTTAGTGCGTAAACAGCTCGACAAGGACGCGTTGGCAAAGGACATTTCTTGTTAGAATATGGACGATTTCAAACAGCGCATCAAGGCAACTTTCATGGGCATTCCCCAAGAAATAATTGATAAGACAATATTTTCAATGCCTTCCAGGATAAAAGGAATAATTCGTGAGAAAGGAGAGCGCCTGAAGTATTAATTAAATATACAGTATATACAGTCCTCATCTTAAACTACATTGTACGTTTTGCCAAATGAACACTCATGTACTAGCAAATTTATTTTGATATTTTAACGATAATTTCGATCGTCAATGTTTTATCGCATTGAGCAAATCTTTACATCAAGCTACCATGTATGTAGTAGTTCTGCTTTGCTTGCTAGTTAAGCATTTTCTATTACGATTGAGATAAAAATTAACAGGCAACCATCAGGTAACCAACAGGTAACCAACCAAATTATATATCTTTCCATAGAAAAGCACAGTTCATAACAGGTAACCACAGGTAACCACTAACATTTAAAAGATAAAACATTTTCTCTTTAACAAAAATTTCGGTTACCTGTGGTTACCTGTTAAAATGATATATTTAATATGGAAAATAATAAGTTCTTGAAGGTTACCTGTTGATACCTGTTGGTTACCTGTTGGTTATATATATTTCAGATGAGGAATTGCGTCAGTTGTTAAATTATCTCTTAATGCAGGAGCGTAAATTCCACGCTAGGATTGCTAAAATGTCTAAAATTCAGATTGAAAATGTCTGTTTGTTCCTTGTGCCAGACACAAATATCCATTTAGATTTTTACCTATAGATACCCTGGAGCCAGAGGGTATTTATTTTCGCCTGTTTTGAATAACCCTCTGGTGAAATTGGCGTAGTTTTCGCGTTCACATTCCACACATAACTTTCAAAAATGGAAGGAAAGAGTTGATTGGTTTGATAGACTACGTGTTCTGATTGGATATTGTAAACATCATAGCCTGTTCGCAGGCGTTTCGTGTTTTGATTGAATTGATGACATTTGAATTTTGAAATGTCTATATTATTAAATAAACGAACAAAAGTAGAATGAAGCAGTTTTGATAGGCTGCATTAATAGATAGATTGATAAATTTCCTGAATTAAAAGTTTAACGGAGCATCAATACCGCGCCTTGTCCAATTTGATTCGCATTAAATATGTATTTGCATCTTGTTATCGGTTATGGGAAGAGTTTAATATTCCAAAGTTCTAACACCGAGAGTAGCACGACGACTTGGCAAAAGCCACAATTTTCTGGAGAATCCCATCTTAATAGTCATTTGCAAATTGAACTCTTTATTCATTGACTCTCACGTCCGTGAACTAAGAAAGCGTGCATGCCGTGTTGCTTCACAGTCAAACGAAGAGGACGAGAAAGCAATACTAGCTAGAGAGTTTACATTCGCATTTTGTAATCCCGAGTCTATTATTCGAAATGCGAAATGGAGAGGAATGCTTTCATTTGAAATCTACAAGACAAATTTGCTTGCTTTTGTATTAACAGACAAAGTTTACGTCGGCCCAAAGAGGTGTGTTTAATAAATTTAAATACAGATTTTTTTTAATGTATATTGCAGGATTAAATTGAATGTATATTGCAAGATTAAAGTGAATGAATATAAATATATATTAAATTGAATAGATGTGATGTTTTAAATTGAATGAAATTCAGGAGAATGAATATTGCTACAAATGGGCAGGCATACACTGGACAGTATACATGCGATAAAACCCTGTCTAGACGGCCTGGCGTCAAGGATAATGATTGGATAATATTTTTAGAATATGATGCATTAAGCCATTATACATTTTTTGCATTCTTTATCCGAACCAGGAATCGCTAACAAATTCACCACAGGTCTTTCCTTTTTCTTCGCGCGTTTTCTCGCATTTCGCGTTCGCCAAACCTAAAAAAACCTCTGGGCGAGGGTAACCGGCTATAGAGGACAAGCAAGTATATTTGCATGCAAATGTTTTGTCCAAACTATTTCTTGGTCTATTTGCGTCAAGGTCGAGCTGAAACGATGAAAAATAACAAATATATGTTCTTATTGGACGAAGCAGTTTATACACGTGCATTGTTCTTTTAATATTATCTTAACAAACGGAATCATTACAAAGTGGTTTTTCAAACATGCACCGTAATGAACTGTTTACAAAATAACTCAACGTTCCACAGTTGTCTTACCCCAAAATCCTAAGTATTTGAACCAAGCATTACCAGTTCAGAAAAGCACGTTTACAGGAAGGAATTTCCTTTTGCGAACTCTCTGGAATTTGATAAAAAAAGGAAAAGGGTTTCCATCTTGCGGACATCATTTCGGTTTTCTTCTCGTCAAAGCAACCGCCCTTGCCCACGAAAACAATCGGACCTTTATTGGTTGCAAAAATTGGAGTATCTCTGTCAAACACAATGTCCTTGGCAAAAGGCGTTTTTGGCGCAGAAAGATGCAAGGTTTGGCCTTCCAACAAAGGCAGCATATCCTTCCATGGCAAAATCTCAGGTCTCCATATGAAATCATTCAAGAAAATCGACTCTGCATTTTCTGAGCCCACCCACGCATAGCTCGTTATTGCAGGATTAGTGAAAGTTTAAAAAAGTTGGTTTAGCGATTTAACAGGAATTTTTGCCGCAATTGGCAGGGCTTACTATCATAATGTTACGGTTCTTTCCTCTTCCCTTCTCAATAAGGTCACGAATGGCTGCAGCAAAGACATATGCATTCACCTTGTTGTTTCTCAATACATCTTTCGCACATTTAATCCAGATCGTATCACACCCCCATCAACACAATTTTCTTCTAATGCAGTTTCTACAACGGACATTCTCAATGTGTTACGTCTATCTAAATTTGTTGCAGCCATTTCCATTTTCCAGGCTGTGGCGATTAAATCATTTAACTTCTTTGGTGTTTGGTTATAAATGAATTGGGCGAGATCTGCCTTCCCTTCAACATCCTGCTGTTTGGCCAGAACCATAAGCTCGACGTCACTCTTGATCCCGTTTGTCAATAATTGTTTTCCCAACATCATGTGCAGTCAAGCGAGAACGTTTTAGGCGCTTCTCAGTTGTTTTAGTGATGCCAACGAGCATGACAAATTGGCCGATTGAGTTTGAGCATCGTCTCGCTTCTGCTTTGAAGATCTACACCAAGTAGCTTTTGCTCTCTCAGTTCTTGGAGCAGCGGCTGATTTCAAATCAGGATGACTCTCACTGTGCAACGCTTCAACGTACATGTTTGTAATATATTTGTATGCGGTATAATAGTCATTGTAATTATCACTAAAATAAACAGGAATACCATGGTATTCCATTAGATATTCCTTTGATTTTAGCCACCTTCGATTGCCATCAAATTTTATTGACATGTGATAGTGAAACCATGATCTTTGTGGGGCTCTCGATCTACTGCACGCCCAGTGTAAAATTTTGCTCTTTGTCTCGCAAACAGAAAATGATTGTACAACAGCTGACGCGAAAGAATCTCTTGTCGGAAATTTCTGGCTGTCCGCTTGGCTATAAGTTATCAAATAGCATTTCCGGACTGTTCTTCTTGGTAGCTCAGACTCAGTGGTCATTTTTTATTTAAATCATCGCTGCGTTTCCAAGAATCTTGCAAATTCAAATTGTTATGTTACAGTTCTTGGAATTTAGTGACATTTCCGAGTAATGAATTTCAAAAAACATTACGTAATGACATATTATTATCAATATCAGTATAATTTTACACGTCCCCCCCATCTTTCACAATAATTAACAACCCCTCCTCCCCCGGTCATCGACAAGTTACCGTTCCTAACCACACAAATCATCAGAGAAAATTCAAAATTTAGTACAGTTAGGCCTTTTTTAAACTTTAAATCACATTGTACATTTTTAACAAATCAGACAATTTTAGACAATTCTCGTTGAGACCAAAAATCTAAATGACAGTTAGCATTTAATTATTGCATTAAATCGGGTTAAACTTTGCTACGGATTCTCAACACCCCTTTCCCCATGTCAATGTTGTTTTATCTTGTTAAATATGTGTTACTGCGTTTGAAAATAAAAATTTTCACGTTGTATGCAACATTGATTCGGGGCAAGGGGGTTAAAAATATGAATTCTCAACAGTTTTGTCTAAGATTGTAGGTCTTCGTATACTTAATATGTTTTACACTGTAATCTCATTTCTACTTCTTTCGCGGCAACGTTGACAAAAATGATCCGCGTCATCATTTTTACACCCAATCAAAGCGTAAAGAATCCCTTTCTTTCGACGGCAAAGAGTAAGGTCTATAATTAATATACTAAATAGTACCAACGACAGTAGAAACGCGGCGAGGATAGCTTTGCCGGAAACAATGGAAACTAGAATCTCATAATTCGGCTCTAAACAGAAACATAATAATTCCTGTTAATCATCAATTCTGTATAGCGTAAATCGACATACCCAATATCAATCCTCCCTCTCTAATAAGCCTCATCTATAACATAGTCGTGCATATAATTAGTATTCTTACCCTCTCTCTAATAAACCCTCTCTCTAATGCGTCCCTTCTCTAGTGTTTCCCCTATTTAATACGCCCCCTCTCTAATCAGTCATCTCCCTTTAATACCTCTCAACGCTAATATGCTCGTCGATAATAAGCATTCTGACCTTTATCACGCGGGTTTCCATCTGCTGAAGATTGTTGTTGCTTTCCAGCTTTAAGAGTGATATTTTGTGTTGTAGAGTTTGGGCATAGTTGTGGTTCAGCATTCTTTCCATTAAAAGCCTTGCATGAAATATCACTTGTAAGGTTGACAAACTTCACTTTATTATTTATCAAGGTAATTTGATCTGTAGATGTGTTGTTTTTTAACACACTGCCAGGCAAGCATTGTTTGTACGCTAAATATGTTGACGGTCGGACAGCGTCGATATGCGTGAAACGGTATCTTTGTTAAGGTTTGCAAGCATGACTGTGACACCGATGTATCAGATTGACTGGATTTTTCGTACAGTTCGCACAATACTCTGCTTCTGACACTACAAGAAATTCATACAGAATAAGGTTACTGTGTAATAATCACCTTTACTTGCAGTTGAGACTTGAATTACGTGCATGCATGAAACGTCACTGAGTCGGAGGCTGACTAATGCGGCTCGGGTTGTTGCCGTGGAGTGCAGCATGTGCAAGCAATAATGGTTACTTTTTGGAGAGAGAGGAAAACCGGGGCAGAGATTGCGGAGAACATCCCTCCATGTACAGGAAATAACCAAGCAGAGGCTGTTTTCCATCGGGCGAATTGTTCAGGCGCAGCTTCTCTATCCTTTGTCAGCATTGCTCATCATGATACAAGAGCAATGCCGACAAATTCACTTCGCGCGAACAACTTCGCCCATGCAGCCAGGATACAGCCATGTGGGAGTCCGTAAGTAATAATGCTGACGAACAATCTAGATTAGATGAAGAAATGCCAACTAAAGTGGGTGAGTTAAACGAACCAAATTATTCTAATAGAAATAGCCTACTGTATATAAACGTAGACAAAATACCATTTCATCGTGGTATGGTTATGGCTTGTTTGAATATTAATAGTCTTTATATCCCATAGTGATGAATTACGAATATTTACAGGTAGCACTAAAACAGAAATGTTATGTATAAACGAAGCCAAGCTTGATTTCACAATTACCGACTGATCAGGAGGTCTGTCTACCAGGTTTTGAAATTGTTCTAAGAGACCGAAGTGTAAATGACCGTATGGCGGCGGCGTTTGCATTTATATTCGGTCTAACATTAATTATAAAATAAGACATTATTTACATTTGGAAACTCTCGCAAAATTGGTAGTAGAAGCAAAAAAAACAAGATCAATGTCTATTTTGGTTAGTACTTGGTACAGACCACCTGACTCCCCTGGGAGTCATTTCGGTGATTGAGAAAAAATGCTCGGTTCATTTGATGCGGCGAATGTAGAGTATTTCCTGCTTGGTGACCTAAATGTAAATCTCTTGCCAACAACTGGCAGACATATTAAATGTCTATCAATATAAATTGACAGACATATTAGATATCTATAGCATAGAACAGAATTACCGCTACAACTAGTACTCTAATTGATCTTTGTCTTACTAATACACCATCTAATGTTGCAAAATCGGGTGTCATACATTTATCAATTAGTGACCATTCATTAGTCTATATGATACGCAGGGCTCATTATGTACGAGAAGGTACTAGAACAGTGGAAATTAGGTCATTGTAGAATTTTAATAGAGAAAGCTTTTTAAGAGATTTAGAACAAAATCAGTGGGATAACATATGTTCTACCCAGGATCCAAACGAAATGTGGGAGGTGTGGAAAAACATGTTATTGGCAACCATTGATAAGCGTGCGCCACTTATGGGATATATAATAGAGACTACTTAATTAAAAAGAAAGCTATTTCATCAAATGAACCTCATGTTTGGTAAGATTATAAACAAGCTCAAAATCAAATTAATGCCGAAATTAAGAATCTTAAGCGAGATTATTTCACAATTCAATAAAAATAATATGACAAAGACATGGCAACTAATTAATGAATTGAGCTCTAGAAATGCTGGAAAAACGAAAAGAATAAGTGAAATAAAGTTGGGGGAACAAGACATAACCTCGCCTGTTAATATAGAGAAGCATTTAACAGCTGCTTTTCTAGTGTTGGCGATAACCTTGAAATACCATATCCTGATCATGATCCGAATTTCTATCTTAAAACATCCGATAAAACGTTTTCATTGCAAACTCCTACTGTTGATACCGTTCACAGATTTTTTAGTACAATTGATGAAAAGAAATCTGTTGGTCTAGATAAAATACCCAATAAGTTATTGAAATTAGCGGCAGACGTGATTGCGCCTTCCTTAACTGAAATATTTGCTACATCTATAAATACAGGAATATTTCAGCGTGAGTTGAAGGCGGGCAGGGTGTCACCAATATTTATTGGTTGGGTGCTAAAACTGACCCAAATAACTATCGGCCTATATCCGTTATTCCAGTGGTTGCAAAATTTTTTGAAAAAATCAATTTTGATCAATTATTTGAATATCTTAATACGAATAAGCAGTTAAGTTCCTGTCCATCTGGATTCCGATCAATGCATAGCACTTTAACGGCACTAATTGAGGCTACAAATAGTTGGTCCGTTAATATTTACAATGGACTAGTAAATGAAGTTGTTTTTATTGATTTAAAGAAAGCTTTCGATACGACCGATCACGACATTATGTTGCTAAAACTTGAAAATTATGGAGATGAGCGAAATAGCTTAACTTGGTTTAAATCGTATCTCACCGATAGAACTTAAAAAAATGTCTGGTCAATGGTCAAACTCCGTCCCAATAATCTGTGGCGTTCCTCAGGGAAGCAATTTGGGGCCACTACTTTTTCTTGTCTATATTAATGATTTACCAAACTGCCTCAATCATACAACACCCAGAATGTTTGCAGATGATTCGAGCGTCAGTTTTGCCTCAAATTCTGTTGAAGAACTGAAAAATATGCCCGGCCACGGTGGGAATCGAACCTACCACCTTTGGAACACTAGCCCAATGCTCTGCCAACTGAGCTACGTGGTCAGGTCGGTTCAAGTAAGTGATATTTCGGAACACAATCTAGTTCCTTCGATACCAATGTAATCTAGTAATATGATTATTTCTGTGTTGGTGCTGTGTACTCAGGTGAATATGATATTTTTTATGTTACTCTGAGTGTATATCCCACCGGGCGAGCTTGAAAAATATGCCCGACCACGGTGGGAATCGAACCTACGACCTTTGGAATACTAGCCCTCGAACCGACCTGACCACGTAGCTCAGTTGGCAGAGCATTGGGCTAGTATTCCAAAGGTCGTAGGTTCGAATCCCACCGTGGCCGGGCATATCTATCAAGCTCGCCCGGTGTGGATATACACTCAGAGTAACATCACAAATATCATATTCACCTGAGTACACAGCACCAACACAGAAATAATCAACTGGAAAATATCATGAACTCCGACCTCAAAAATCTCAATAGTTGGCTTACAACCAATAGATTAAGCTTAAATATCGTAAAAACAGAGTTTATGAGTATTGGTTCTCGCCAGAAAATAAGAGATAATTATAGATGGGAAATGAATATATATTAAGATAAATGATAATAAAATGAACAGGGTTGATTTCTTCAAATCCTTAGGGCTACACATTGCAAATTGACGAACACCTTTCTTGGTCAGTTCATATTCGCAAATTATGTAAAAATTGCTTCAGTTATAGGCGCTTTAAAACGCATTAGACCGTTTATTACCACGAACACTGCTATTCAAGTTTACCAAACTTTAATTAAACCTCATTTTGACTACTGTTGCTCGGCCTGGGACGGTCTTGGTGAAACACAACCTCGTTCCCAGGACTTTCGTGTGAGGACGAGGGGAGAGACGTCTGGGCCGGTCAATTTTGCATTCTGATTGGCTAACATTATATTGTCTAAAAATAACTGAACTTGACAGTTGACAATAACAATTCAAATTTTTGTATTTTTATGATTCTTGTGCATGTGTACGAGTATGTTTTGCAAAATAATCTTTCAAAGTAAGACATTTTCCCGACTGCATGATTTACTTTCGCCTCGGCCGGTTACAAAACTCAAAAGCCGTTTTGACGTGAGCTGTGATGTTTCCTGACAAAAGAAGAAACGTCTACTATTATTTAAACTGTAATTTTCCTTCTACAGTATTTATAATGTAATCCAGATGTCTGACGAAATACTACGCGTATTGCATTGTACTATTGTAGTAATATTTTAATTTACAATATTCTATACCTACAAATAAAAGCAAGACAAACAATTAAATGAAACTATACTAAATTAATTTAGGCCCTGTTTACTTAATAGCTCTAGCATTTAAGAAATTCTGAGACGAGATTAAATTTGCCCAAGCCACGACCAAATTACTTAAAAAGAATTAAGCTTTTGTTATAGTGGTGCCTACTTGTGGAACAGTCTTCCTCAAGATATACGAAAGCTTCACACATTTCCACAATTTAAAGATAGATAGATAGATAGATAGATAGATAGATAGATAGATAGATAGATAGATAGATAGATAGTTTAATAAAACACTATTAAGAAAATTTTTATTTGCATTTAATTTTCGGGAGTTTGATTGATGTTTTCTATCAGTTATACGAGTTGGAATATGTTGGTATAGTTACTTGACCCTAGCGGTGGACATGAATTCTGCTCTAATTGGCTCCGACAATGGGCTGGAACAACGCAAAATTATGTACAGATTAACGTAATTCTCCTGAGAAAGAATCTTCTCTGGAAAAAGTGGGATTAATTTGTCACAAATGTCCAAACGAAATCTAAATTTGTTGCTAAAATCTCGTAATAAAAAGATTTTGTCCACAAAATTGCCAAATAGAATATTGCACTTAGCTCTGGAACGTGTTTTATGTACTTCTTTTGTATTCCCGTTGTTAATATTAACAACGGAATTTTCATGGGAGGACGAGCAACTATTTAAAATTGGTTGTTGGACACTAATAAAACTTGGTTTGTCTTTAGAATTAGGCAAAAATTTCTGGGATAAACAGTTTTGTCGATTCAGATCAGACTGATTATTGTTATGCCTCAGATATTCGGCTGGAACTTTGATTGAAATATTGTTTCGGTCCTTGCACGATCATTAGTGGTTTCTTTTTTGGCAAAGTAATTTGGCAATCGGAGGGGGGAGTGTTCGATATTGTTTGATGATTTTATGTATATGTCATCAGACGTGGAAAAAGGCTTCGAATTAGCATAATTATTCACATGTTCGCATGTTTTGCTCATATCGTAATTGCTTTGTATATACTTTGTTGATTGTTCGCTAATTGATTTTCTCAACGATGCATATTTAACGCTTCGATTGATTCCACTTTATTTTCAAGTGACACAATAAGGTTATTTAGTTCGTTAATATTGATATATCAGATTCCAGCAACTCACATCGTTCTCTTTCCTTCGCATAAATGTGTCTTAGTTGGGTCACCTCATCATCATGAGTTTTCTGCGCTGAAGTTATCCTAGTGTCGACATTTTTTTGCAAGATAACTCACGGTGGGAAAAAAAGACAGCAAATTTGGCCACGTACGTATAACTTTCTGTCGTTAGTTTGGAATATCACGAAACTCCCTCACAGGATGGAACTTAACATTCCTAAAAATCGTATGTTTTTTGTTTTTCGATTTTGTTACATTTTGGCGGGAAAATGACGTGCCAACTTTGGCGCCAAAAAATTAAACACGAGCTAAGAACATGCGTGTAACTTTTTTGAAGAGCTTGTCCAATAAGGATCTCAAAACTATAAAAACATGAAAAATACAACAAGGCAGTGCGAATATATGGCGATTCAAAGTTCGAAAAAAATCTATTTATAGTAACAAAATTGCTGATTTTTCAGTAAAAATAGAACTGTCTTTTTTGCCCACCGTGACTATATCTAACTTAACCCCCTCAAGTTCAGCGGCCAACAGTCCACATTGACAGTCACACTTACTTTTCTGTACTGAACTTACATGATTAGATGATCTATTATCGGTAGACACTCGAGCAGCCTTGGTCTTGGATCGGCTAACACTGAAAGATTTGTCGTTATTCAAAGCCACAGGCTCAAAGCCTAAATATTCCGCCGGTAAGCTTTTACCCATCGTACACACGGTAATAAACAGCTCTTTTAAACGATCGCCCATTTCGCCTTTAAATGACAAAGTACCTAGCTCATAGTTCCATGTAAAGATCAAGTCTGAATTTGAGCTTGTGAACTTCTTGTATTTTCCGCCGGGTGATAATCAATTGCCGGGCTGTTCAATGGCATGTTTTGAAAATATCTTTATCGCAATGCATCGTCAAAATATCTGTCCATCAAACACGCTTTGCATCGTAGGCAAAGCAATTCTCGTACTTATAACGCAAAATTTCATCCAAATCGTAGTCAAATGAGTCGTTTTTACAGTAGCCATCAGAGCTATATTTTGGACACAACTTTCCGCCATTTTGAATGTAATACCAATAGGATAGTTTGTCTTGTCTTTTAACAAAGATGCATGTACGGTGTGTCAGACGGGCAATGCATTCTGGAAGATGATGTAGATAAGTATTATAGAAGAAAGCTGTAGATAAGTATTATAATAATTCAAGTGAACTCCCACACGGCAATCTTGTAAACCAGTAGTAGATAATTTTTAGATTTTTTTATAATTGATGTGTGTATATATCTTATTACTGTCTTATTACTCTTATAATAGTTACATTATATCCATATACATGTACTGAAGATTTTACCGTGTTCAAATAAATTTGTATTGATTGATTGATTAATTGATGCAGGTGGAAAACGCGCTTTACATGAGTTTTCAAGCTCATCAAGTAACAATAGCCAAACCTATAGATATTCAGTATAGCAGTTTTAGCTCAGTGATGAGCTCCCGTGTTCTTATATATATATATATATATATATATATATATATATATATATATATATATATATATATATATATATATATATATATATATATATATATATATACACTGTTAATTTGAAGGTGTTAAAATAGCACCTTCGTAGGTGTTAAAATGACACCTTGTGGTGGTGTTAAATTAAAAGTGTTAATCTAACACCAATTTGGGTGCTGAATTAACACCATGAAGTTGGGAATTGATTTTGAAGTGCTAAATTAGCACCTTAGGTATTTAACACTTTTCTAGGGTGTTAAAATAGCACCCATTCTATTGAGTGAAAGTGTTAAAGTAGCACCGTTTTGAGAGTTAAACTTAGGGTGTCAAAATAGCACCTCGTGAACCGGTTTTCAGATTCAAAGTGGCGGACCACGTATAGGAGCGGTTTACGTTTTTCAGACAAGTAAATGGGGCAAAGGATCATATTTTTACATATTATCGCCTTTAATGTAATCCTTGTATGGCCTCATTGAAAAACTAATAAAAATCTGTCATTTTGGTGTTAGTGACGTCAGGAAAGTGTGCAGTGATAAACAGTAAAAATATGCGGTGAAAAGAAATTGTGTGGTGATGACAAAATATGTTCATGCAAGGGAGATATAACAAGACTGCTACAATTTTAAAGTTAAGAGTCTCTGTCAAAAAACCCTTATAAATGCAGGTTTATTTGCACTGGATTGCTCACATGATTGAGATCAGTGCCTTCAGAAGGGCCTCCCAGAAGGCTTAGCGAGCACATTTCTAGTGCGTCGTTTGGAAATTTTAATTTAACGTCGGTTGATAAAGCCAAGATTTCTTTTAAATTATAGTAGAAAATAAGAAGAAATACACCATTGTTTGAAGATTCAGACAATAATTGAAAAAAGGAAGTGCTCAACTATGTCAAAATTTTTAAGTTTCGTGTGTAAATATGTGCCATAAATAGTAATATATTCATGTATATTTTAACCGCCATTTGCCGTTGGCCGCATTGTATTTTGTATTTGGTTTAACAATATATTGTTATTAAAATACATTAAAACTTAGTGATATTGCTTTGTATTGACAGGTTATAATTTCAAGCAATAAATACTGTCATAGTATGTGTTCTACGCAAGTCGAACTGTCGAAATCATGATATATATACAGGCTACAAGAAGGTATGAAATATACAATTATATTTACAATATAATTATATTGTATTAGCTAAATGAGTTAATATTGATACCCTTTCAATAGTGATCAATACATTAAAGTTAACAATATAAACATTTATATTTGTTAATGTATTGATCTATTGAGAGGATATCAATGTTGACTCAATAGCTATTAATATTGATATTATCTCCAAAGCAAGTTCTATGACTTTGTATTAGGCCCTGTTTACATGAGACCACAACAAAGTCAAACCGGGACCATTTTGTTTTGCTCATAGTGTTCAGTATCTATAATAGATGTTCACAAGCAACCGGGATGAAAATAACTCAACAGACCAGTCTCAAGTCATTCTGCCTGCTGGATCAAGCCGAATGACTTTAGACTGGCATGATTTCAGACCGGCATGAATGTAAACACAAATACATTTCAGACCGGTCTTGGCTGTAACCTTGACATTGGAACAACATATGCTAACAAAAGCCATCTGAAC